ACTTCCAATGGTACAGCGTGGTTTTTCGGAACGGTTCTTTCTATGCGCCTTGTACTTTTATCAATTTCTTTTTTTTTTTCTTCATTTCTTTTACTCGTACCGGTCTTGCTCTGGATATTGCGTTTCTCTTTCAACCGCACGCCCGTTAATATTTTGTAATGTAACGTTATCCCGTTGTTGATTATGCTGCACCGACCGTTGTCGCATTTGGAACAGTAGCAAAAACTATTTATGGATATTACATCTTCAATTTATTTTTCGACCGTAGTAAAAAGTATTCTTAAGCTATTTTTTCGATTGTATTTTTAACCATTTCTTTATCCTTATGGCGCGGAACGACGTAGTTCACAAAAATAAATGTATTTGTGGCGCTTTTCTTTGAACAAAAAAAAAAAAAAAAAAACAGAAAAAACAATGGCGGGTGTTAAGTAGGGCTATGTTTGTTGATTTATCCATTTATTTTCATCAGTGTATATAAGAGAATCCCGATATCATCGCGTTTTAGCAGACCACGAAACATATCCACTTACACTTCATTGCCTATCAAGCTGAGTACTTTAGCTTGAGTTTCATGTTGCTTCTCTCTGCGGAACTTATAAACGTGTTATATATCAGATAAATGTTTTCCCCTTGCGCAGCCACCGTCATGTTTGCTCGCGAGCAGCAAAAAGTAAGCCTAGTAAATATTCCCTGATCTTAGATAAACTCATCGGTAAAATTCTGATAAAGTTACTGATTTTCGATAGTTTTACATTCCTTAAGCTTACACGCGGTCTACACGTCTATTTCTTATGTATACAACTATACTTCATATTTGTATACATTATTATGCAATATTGATTAAATTTAATAAACGAATGCTATCACACGATTCTATCAGAAAAAGTTAGAATGGCTTTAATCGTGAACTATCTCTTGTGCTTAGATTGGCTATTGATAGATATATAAGAATAGTCAAAATAGAAGGAAAACTGTAATAGAAGCAAATCTTAGTATATTTTAGATTGCAATGTAAATTGAAAAACGCAAAAGATAAAAATAATATCCCAATGCATAAAAATATAATATTTGTCAAGGTAGAAACAAGGAGTCAAAATAGAAGGCATAAAATGAGGAGAAGAGCAAGATAGTATTAATGGAAGAGGTTCATGTTTTTGCCGTTTCTCCACGTATCTTCTCTGTCTCTTTTCGGCTTAATTCACCGGAGTCTCCCAGCACTTTAGATCAAGCACATTCCTAAGGTTCTTCTTGGCCCCGATGAACCCACTTGATGAAAAGCTCACCGGCCCACGTCGCCATTCTTACGTACACCACGTATCCTGCACGACCCTGTCCAAGCCTACGCGCTGGATATCTAGGAGCATTGGTCTACCCGATAATCCACGACTTCTGTTTCGCGATCCTATCTCACCTCTATTGTTTCTATGATCGTACGTACAGTTAACCGTAAAAGTCGTATATAATATTACAAAGTCTAAACTGGACGGTTCGGCGATAAGCATCGTTGCTTCTTCTGAACCACCACACTTGGGAGTAGATGTTTTAAATTTCTCTGATATTTTTATCAAGGATTTTATACTATAGATACTTATAGTCTCGACCGTTGGTTCTTTCGACCGATTGAGCAACGTTTCAACTTTTGAAATGCTTTCGAAATTGAATTGCGTTTCAAAGAAGTAAATGTGGCATCATATCTGTTGCCAGCATAATTTACTCGATAAAAATTGGTCTCGTAAGTAAACTCCAGTTCCAACGTACAAAATTATCTGTCAAATTATAATTTTGATATGCGAATCGAACATCGAGATATCACGAATTTTACTTCGCGACTTTCTTTCCTCGTCGTACTCTAGTGGAATGCGAATAACTCGTTAAATTAGTATGATAATTTGATGGTCTATTAAATGGAACACACGACGTAGTGTCACATGATCGGTAAAGATTAACTTTGTTCAGTTTAGCAAGGAACATGGGAGTATCGATCCAGAAGGTTCCCGCGCATTATCAGAAATGCAATATTTTTCACCAGCTACACATTATTCACACACGCACCGGAAGTTCGTTTATGTACCAACCTATCTGGCTAATCTAAAACGTTCAAGCGTCAGTCACTTCTTGTTAGCGCCTAAGGTTATCGTGTATGACGCCATTAATGTGCACATCACGCCAGTGCATTAAGTAGGTAGAGACTCGAGCAACGCGAAATAATTACAAGAGCTCCATGTGAAGAATCGCGATGCTCTTTTCATCTGGTCGTGTTCTCGTTTCACTTTCGTACAATAAGCTGCCTCGGCTTATTTTGTATAATTGGACGACCAAGTTCGTTAATAATGTCGAGCCAATAAGAAAACAGCCAGCGACACCTGAAATCTATTTTGCTTTCAACTGGTTAATGGACTGATATATACCAACAATAGGTTGGTATTAGGCTGTTATTGGTAGACGTTTTAACACTGACAGTAAAATTATTAGACATCGGATCTTATTGTAGGATTTCTGTTTAAAATAAGCTCCTCTTTTATTGTTTGTTTGACAGAAATATTTCAAGATGAATAGCTTGTACAGCCAGCTTACAGCTTTATCTGTTATGGAATTTCTAGTGACCAGAGTAAAGAGAAGTCCTAATGTGGTCGATTTGCATGGCAGATTAGGGAAATTAGGTGGGTGTGCCACCTGGTGGTAGTTCTATCCAAACATTGCGGCACGCCTATTTACCTTTGCTTGGCTTACCTACCTGCTTGCACTTACTTAAGACCATCGAAGGAACGATTATACGATATCGCTTATTTGCCTTCACGATTCGGGTCAAAAGTGCTTTGACTAGATGTGCTTTCCTTGTAATAGGAGGTGCATTCTTACTGCAGAGACATTAAGAAACGTTTTTCGACATTGTTGGTGTTTCTGTTCGTGTTATGTTTCCCGCAATGAATTGTCGGTCAGTCTCTAACCTCAAAAACCGTTTAAAACGCGGTAGTGTCTTGTAACGACACTGAGTAACACGCGAAATCTAACCAAAAAGTGAATGTTCTTCAAGCACGAGAGGTTCCTTTCTGATTAATATGAGGTAAGATTTTCATAATTTAGAAAAACTACTGCTATCTCTATGCGATTAAAAAAAAAAAAATTTAGTTCTATAACATATAAATATGGCGAAAGAACTCGCTACTTTTTCGCTATCATTAGTATTTTAGCTGCATATAATTAAACAATACCAACAAGAAATATGAAATTATATATAGAAAGATTGCAATGTATTAGAAGTGTGTACTAATCAGGAGAAATATCGGTTTGATAACTTGAAGCGCGACCGCAGGGATACAGAAATGCGTAATAACGAAGCGTTTACAGAGCCAACCGCGGCGATTTCATTATCCCTACGGTTCAGCAATTTACGGACCATTACAGCAAAGTCCTACAGGCTATACTGGGCACGAGATAGCCACGTCGTACCATCCATTATTCATCACCCACTTCTCCGTACAGTCTCACCCGTTGACTTGCGCGCCCTCCACGCATTCTCCCCTTAAATCTTGCGTTGCGACACAGATTTTTTGCATTGCCGCCTCTTTTAATTAGCTGCTGATGCCGCCATTGTTAAAACACCGATTTTTCTTTCTGACAATTTAAACGAGGTCGTATATCTCGCGGTTTGTCATTCCTCTCGATTCCATCGAGTATATGTACAAGAAAAATGGATGTAACAACTTTCTCGTTTATTAACTGTAAATATGTTACAATCGTTTCTTTTATTTATTTATTTATTTATTTTTTTTTCTTAAGTTTTCATGTATTCTTCTCTTACGCCTAAGAGATTCGAAAGATTTATGGCGACAAAATAAATGTACAAGCGAATTCAATTATAGACTATAAAACGATGCAGAATTTTAGGTTATTTTCGACGAATTATTTTTAACCGGACGGAAACGATTTATTCCCCTCGCAGTCGTTATATCAGGAGAAAGATCGTCTCTGACGTTCGCGAACGGGGAATGTCAAGTTTTTAGGAGTCTGGCCATTCTAAATTTTTCTAACCTAACTTGACCTTCATGGCCATGAAAGGAATGCCGAATCGAGAAAACCTCACGAGTATTTCGAGGGCGAAATTGCTAGGGGCAGCAGATATTTTCTTTATAATCTTTATAAACCTTTAAGACACACTGTTTTTTTTTTTTTTTTTT